AGCTCGCGAGGAGTCGGGGCGGGCACGGGCAGATGGGCTGACGGGCCAGACTGTTTGCCTCTGGTCTCCCTTTGTGTCCCGATCCGCCCCTCCGCGCCCATTCTCTCCTCCCGAAGTCAGGGACAGCCTGCTCCCATCGGTCCTCCCCAGCCCAGCCCCAGCCAGCCCCTACCCCCACCCCAGTGCACCTGTCCACCGAGACGGCGGCCAGCGTGAAGCTGCTGGCATACATGGTGAGGTAGATGAGCAGGTGCACGGCCTTGCAGACCAGGGCCCCGAAGAGCCAGGCGTCCAGCGTGTAGATGGCGGCCTGGAAGGGCACGCAGCACAGGATGAAGCAGAGGTCGGCCACCGCCAGGTTGAGGATGAACAGGTCCGTGGTGCTGCCCGGCTCCTGCCAGGCACTCCCACCAGGCTGCAGCAGCACCGCCAGCACCAGCCCGTTGCCCACTGTGCCCAGCAGGAAGATGAGGGCAAAGACCACAGGCACCGCCACGGCCCCCACGCTCCCTGGGCTGTCCAGCGAACTGTTCTGGGCGTCAGCCATCTCCCCATTAGACGGTCACCTGGGAAGAGAAGCTGGGGTCTTCAGACAGGCGCCCCAACCCTCCCTGGACCAGGACTCCAGCTCCTCCAGCCTGGCCTGGTCTTCGGCGCCGGAAGCGATGCCGGGAGGAGCAAAGCCAGGGGACATCACCCAGACCACAGTGCCAGCTCCTGGCGGTCACTCTGGCCTCTCAAGTGGGGTTCTCAGTTTCCTAGGGAACACTTCCATGCCCCAGGGTGGGGAGGACTGATGAGGTAGTGATGGACCCCTCCACCCATGATGCAGAGAGAGGCAGGACATCGGGGGTGAGGGAAGGGACTCCAACCTTACTTGCTTCTCTCGTTTCCTCCTCACTGGGGACCTGAAGCTCAGGGAAGACTCTTGGGCATGGGCCACAGTCAGCCAAACATGGGTGACACCCCTGAATCAGCGAGTCCAGTCCAGTGAGGGCCCCGAGAGGCCCCTCTTGCACAGGAGGAAACTGAGGCTCAGGGACGGGCCATAGTGGGCTCACGTCACTGAGTGGTGGATCTGGGGCTCTTGCCATCCTGGGGCCCCAACTCCCAGGATGGAAGCTCATCTGGGCACCTGTAACAGGTGGTACCTCAGCCAGCTTGCCCACCCACAGCCCACATCAGCTACTACCTGTGGGTCCCTCTGTGATGGGACAAATTAAGGGCAAGGGGGACCAGACAAGGAGGAAGAAAGGTAACCGCTGCCCCCCAACATGCAGCATGCCCCATGCCCATCCTGGGCAGCACCCACCTCAACCCTGGGCACTGGGTCCCAGCTCGGTCCTGGGCAGCCCAGCGGCTGCCGCTGCCGCCTGGCTCAGTGGCCGCCCCTGGTGCCGCCTGCAGGCAGGTCTGCCTCTCACTTCTCCCTCTTCTCCGGCAAGGCCCCTCCTCCCCTCGGCCCCCTCTGCTCAACTGGCCGGGCACTCCCTCTGGAGTAGCCACTGGCTGCTGCCTCCTCAGCCCGATTCCCCGGGGTGGCATGGTCTTCTGCCTGGCTCTTGCGTGCTGCCTTCCTGCGGTGAGTAACCCATTGATCTCGCTCTGAGATTGGCTTTGTGGTTAACCCCTGCATGCCCAGTGTCCAGCCCTTTCCCAGCTCTCCTGGCTCTTAAAGGGCCGGGTGACAACTCCATCCCTCACCCTGTCCCCTCCCTGCTCAAAGGAGGACTCCCATCCAAGCTCTGAGAAGACCTGAGTCACGAGTGGGGGGTGTCCTAGGCTAGGAAACCCGAACGAGCCCATTGCTGCAGACTTTAGAGCGGACGCCTCACCCAGGCCCTGGGATCCTGAGACCCCATCTGCCTCCCTAAGTTTGTTCCAGGGCTTCAGTCCAGCTGGAGGCTGTGCCCATCCCGCGTGGGCTGGCCGCGGCACCGGAGTGAGGGCTCAGTAGCAGCAAGGCTCGCCCATTCTTTTCTGAAAGTTGTGTTGTTTTAATTGGGGCTGCTGTGGTTTGCAGCCTGTCTGGCTCAGGGGCAGCCGTTCACACCTCTTCAGAGGTCCGTTACCACACAGCACTCACCACCAAGGCTCCCAGCACCCTCCCGTTGGTCCCGGCCACTCATTTTGTCAGATGTTTATTGTGGGGTGAAGAGGAGGCACAGAGGGGGACGTTTTAATGAGTGACGCCCCTGTCCAGGCTAGAGCAGAGGTTCCGGGGGCGTGACCGGCTGGCTCAGCCCTGGGCTGCGTGGCTGCGCCAGTGGGTGAGGCTGGCAGCCAGGCCACGGGGCACGGGGCACGGAGGTTGTTGGGACAAGTGTTGTGCGAGGGAGGGAAGCTGGGGGAGAAGAGGTGGGGGGCGGATGGATCTTCCTAGTAACTGGTAGCTGGGAAGGGGAGGAGAATGTCAAGGTGAGAGAAGGCTGAGGGGACCTGGGGGGGGCGCACTGCATTTGGGGTCTGAGGAGCCGGGGAAGAGACTTCAGGGGAGCTGCTTGTGGGTGTGAGCAGAGTGCAGAGTGCCAGGAGAGGCCCGGTCTTGGACGCAGAGGCTCGGTGCGGGTGACTGGGTGTGGGGCGCCTCGCCAGCCGAATCAGAGCCGTCAGAAGGGCACTGAGCAGCCAGGCCTGGGGAAGCACATGGCCTCCAGGAGGGAGACCCGTAGCGTTCTACTCCGCATGAGGGGTCCGGGGTCACCGACAGCCAAGACCCACAACCACCTCGTGCGAAAGAAATTCATGGCGAAACCAGAAGCCTGCCCACGAGCGTGGGTGTGCGGATTCTGAAGGGCCCGAGATCCCGAGTCCCTCCCCTCGGGCACGTCCACCCACAAGCCCAGTCCTCCATAGGGCAGAGAGCTGCTGAGTGGTGCAAGACTAGGCAGCTGAGGAGACAGCAGAGGAGGAGGGAAGGCCCACGGAGCCCACCGAGGACAGGAGGGTGGGGTGCGGGCCCACGGAGCCCACCGAGGACAGGAGGGTGGGGTGCGGGCCCACGGAGCCCACC